TCGAATTGTAAGTTCTTATCTTTATGCATTTGAGAGTGTTGTTTGGGTTCTTGAAATAAAATATTTTTTTTTGTCCTAATTTATCTGGAAAATCATATTGATTCGTATCACATTGTTTAGGCATTATGCAAAGCATTAAACTTTTTTATACAAAGCATGCTATTAAGTTAAGTGTTGCTGAGATGAGAATATTAAGGTAGATGAGGGGCTTTACACCTAAAGACAAAATGCGAAACTATTATATTTGTGAAAGGGTTGGAGTAGCTCCAGTGACAGACAATATTTGAGAGTCTCCTTAGATGGTTTGGTCGCATTAAACATTAACCATCTGATGATCCTGTTAGGAGAGAAAATATTTTAAATTTGACTCATGTTAAGAAAGAAAGAGGTGGACCGAAAAAGACATAAGCATGTTGTATAAAAATGATCTTAATTTATTAGAATTATATGAAAATATGACACTCAATAGGACACAAATGGAGAAAAAAGATTCATGTAGCTGACCCCACTTAGTGGGACAAATGCTTGGTGATGCTATTGTTGTTGCAGAAAACAACTTGATTGCTATAATGGAATTGAATGGAGATGAATATTTTGAGAAAATAAGAAAGAATAAATGTTTATATATAATTTTAGACATAAAAAAGCTATGAAGATTCACCATTCACTGTTTTTCTGCGAATTTTATTCAGCATCAGACCCATGATGTTATCAAAGTTCAACTTTGAAGTCTGTGAAGAATTACTCACTGTCGTCACCAAACCATCCAGCTGTCCGACAATAAAGGTAGTATCACCAGTGCTCTGACCTCATCATTAAACTTGATCCTCACAGAACACAATTGACACGTCACAGTGTTGAAGCTATTGAGATTCCCCGCCATTGGACAATCTTCCACTATCTTTATGTTGAATAATTTCTTCATTAAAATAACTTTATTGGAAGCAGAAGGTTTTTCGTACATCTTGGCCGATGCGACCATGATATTCACCATAGTTTTCTCATTCACAATATTGAACACAACTGATGAGAAAAGTATTTAACCTGATCAATCCCAGTGTCGGTGTCGTTCGATCCAACACTTCCACTTCTCATTCCTCCATAAACATAGACTCAGGCTTCTTTGTGATTCCTTGTAGTGACAAGTATAATTTTTTCTGATATAACAAATCTTTCACCTACATCTTCCAGAAAACGAAGTTCATTCCATTGAACTTCTCCATCTTGTCTTTGGCCATTGCTCGCACTCGCATTGAACCCTGCTCTGATACCAGTTTTTGTTGGGAATACTCCAAACATTTCTCAATGTCACAGTAGAATAAGATCACAGGTTTCGAAAAAAATAAAAAATTAAATTTAAACCAGAAACACAATAAAAAACTACCAGAAAAAAAACGCAAGAATTTTATGTGAAAAAAATTCTAGGACGGGAAAAAACCACAAAGCCGTATCACCACAAATTTCACTATGAATTTCAGAGAGTTTTACAAAGGATTCACACAAGTTTCTTCTCCACGCTCACATGAGTGCACCACTTTACACTCTTCTTATTGATCTGACACAGAAACGCACGTTGAAAAACACTAGAATCCTTCTCACCTTCACCGGGATTTCGTTGAATAACAAATAGGAAGAGTTACGCTCCAAGCTTGCACATACGCTGCCCGAAATTGTGACATAAATAGCAGTTCTCGTGAAAACTGCTTCGGGCGTCAAGGCGCCCAGATTTGGGTGCCTGGGCTCCCAGTTCTCTGGAAACAGGCGCCCTAGCACCGGAAGTGAGCGCCTAAGCGCCCAGTTTGGGCGCAAGACTTCCACCTTCTCGGTCTAGGAACACTGCATGAAAGTCAACCAACCTGGTGCTCATGGGTGCTACAATTAGACTCCACGACTAGCACAGATGTATAAAGTGCTTTTGATGAGGTGATTTGATTATTTATCATACACTTTGTTGAGGTATGACAATACCCTTCTAGAACTAAATGCCTCTAGTGTGTAAGGTAGGATTCGTCTCTCTTTTCGTTCATTTCTTTCCTCGGAGAAATCTGTGTTCAGCTACTTCTGTGCCTTCCTCTTATGAAGTTATTGCATGAATTAAGCATTCGATTCTTGGCAGAATAACATTTTTTTCGTTTGTTTGTGTATGCAAGAAATGAGCCCACACAAAATATGGTGTCTTTCGAGAACCCCAGCTGGCTTATAGTCACATTTTTTGTACATAATAAGTTGAAATTCTCTTGCATTTTTAATTACTAGAAAGCTTTAAATGGTAATTTAGCTGATCTACATTTCCTTGAAACACTCCCGCTAAGCTGGCTGAAAAATAACTCAATATTTAGATAAATTATTTAAAATTCCAGTTCTATAATAAAATAACTTACAGAAATGCAAGTTTTAATGAACTGTGAAAATGATAAGGGTGAGGGAAGGGGATCGGGTGTAGGTGAGGGAAGGGGATGGGGTGTGGGTGGGGGAGAAGGGAGTTGGCTTGAAGTGTTTGCAAAGACACATTTACAAATTACATAAATAAATGGAAGATTATTCCCCGTCGATGACGTCAAGGGCCAACAAATTTCTTCTCATTTCTCTAATTATCTTGACCAGCCTTATTTTTCTAGATTGGTTTGAGTTAAACCCCCATGGACGCCATTGAGGAGCGACTTGCGTTCTTTTTCCCACAATAGCAGGGAGCATTGGCTGGTAAGCATAGCCCTCCAGACTTTTAACTACTCTCTCCATCATCAACTTCTCGCATGGCATTAGTCCTGATTTTTCTAACATATGAATTTTTCTGGACTGTCTTCAAATTTTGCATCTCCAAGATAGAATGCCTTCTGTTCTTTTTATATTTATCTCTCTCTCCTACCAACAAGTCACGGCTGGCAGCACTATTATATATATTAAAAGAATAGTCGAGAGCTATTATACGAGCCCCAGTCACTCTCATGTGACTAACTATTCGAGGACTGCCCTCACTACCAGCAAACTGGTCAGAGGGGATTCGAAACCGTGACCTGAGGGGACTTACAACCTTCAAAGAGACTGCTTTACCAACAGGTCACGGCTGGCGGTACACACACACACATATATATAATAATAATAATAATAATAATAATAATAATATTAATAATTTGATGGCGATCTGCTCTGCTAGGGTTTCGCCCAATGGCGAAACCCTGATTTGATTCCTTACTCGACGACGACGACGCAGTTTCCCACACTCGACGACGACGACGAAGGACTATACCTTGCGATTGTCGTTTTCTCTTTCACGCTAAACGACGAAGGGTTTGGCGTCTGCTTCTGCTGTTTCGTCGTCTCCTCCTTTGCGCTTTCCAGCTTCTGCGGTTCTTTTCTGCGTTGATCGAGCTGGGATTTCAGTCTGCCGAGCTGCGATTTCGCTGCCCTGTCTTCTGCGCATTTCATCTGCGGTTCCCGTCTTCTGCGCAGCTTCGCCCCAAACTCTTCGGCTTGTCTTCTTTGCCCTCTGCCCGACTTGCAGGGCTTCTCTTTTTTGTGATGGAGCTTGTTGAACCTGGCAAAACCTCTTTTGCCCACGTGATAGATAATCTTTAGGGGGAGACGGCGGTCGTCTTCCCTTCAAGTTATGAGGAGCATCATGATGGTACATGTGACTGTCCCTTTATTAAGAATGCAAGTATAAAAAGTGGGAAGACAACACTCTTTTTCTCCACGTCAGAAATTTCAACGCTGACTGACAAATCCAAATTTACTATTATTGGGAAATTTTAGTGGGGACACCCACCTAAGAAAATTATCAGAAAAAGTTTTGATGACCTCAAATTAACAGGAAAGTGGAAAGTGGAGCTCATGGATGAAATATATGTATTGATTAAGTTAACCGTGTTTGAGGACTATACTCAGATTTTCTCCAGAAAATATCTTAACATTGCTGGTAAACCTATAAAGTTACTCAAGTGGTCTCTTGATTTAGGCTCTTGATTTTGGCCCAAATCATGAAACTCTCACTGTACCGGTATGATTTAGTTTACTTAGTCCCAAGTTGCATTTTTTTCACCATCAAGTTCTCTACTCTATTGGGATTATTCTTGGGAATTCTTTAAAGCTAGATCTGCCTACTTTCAACCTAACGAGACCCTCAGTGACCAGAATACTTGTTGAAAGGGATATTACTTTACCTGATGTTACTGATGTTTGGCTGGACACAACCCACAATGGTTATTGACGATAAATAGTTATGGAGCACAGACCCCCATATTGTTCCCACTGTAAGATGTTTGGTCATGTCCTTGATAAATGACACAAATTTCATCCAAATTTGAAATCTAAGGTTCAAGTGCATGAGGATGGGTCTAACTCCATTGCTGTGGATATTTTAGTTCCACCTGAGGATGATACTATCAGACATGAGGTGTCTGTTGCCCCTACCCCCCCCCCCCCATGACACTGCTGTTACTGTTACTGCGAGTGATGTGATGCCGACACCTTCAAACCTCATAGAAAACAATGTTGATGGACTATTGCCTACAAATGATAGTGTTCAGACTGATAATCAGGAGAGCCTCGTAGCTCCACTTATTCAGGAAGTATCCGGTGTAGAGGCAACTCATACTTCACATATACTAGAATCTATTGTGGGTAATACGGTTGGTATTCCTTCTACTTCAGCTCTACCACCCCATCAGACTTATTCTTCAAAAGAGGAATGACAAGTCTATTCCAGGAGGAAGAAGAAGGAATGGAGGCCGACTCCAGCTCGGGAACATATTGGATGATACATTAGTTACTACTAGCGATGACGATCATCTTAGCAGCTTATTAGCTTGCTACTTCCTTAGAACTAGAGGCAGAGGCAAGACCAAATTGGGTCGCTCTCTAGCCACCTGATGTGTGTGTGTGTGTGTGTGTGTGTGTGTGGTTTCCCCTTGAATTGAGAGATTGATTTTTCTCAAGTGCTAATAAATTTTGTTGGATACCATATTTTTCATTATATTACTGTTGATTATATGCTTGAATAGGTACTTCACGTTCGTGTGCTATAATGGAGGACTGCTTTGTTGAGAACTCCTTGAATCCAGACACGGTAGACGAGAAAAGAATTTGCAAACCGGTAAGCCACATTTTAGCAGTATCACCACGATGCCTTGTCAACAAAAACTGGCTTGCAATTATCACATAAGCGTGATAGAATTTCGAATGTAATAAAAATCATGCAATCCATTTCAGGCAATTTGTTACCTGCTTATGAATCTGCAGCCATTATCATAATTTTTCTTATGCCACTTTAATTTTGGGGCATTTACATACATACCGCACAATTCTTATGCATTTACATATTTAACCCCTAAACTTTCATGTTTATAATCATAACACTCAAATCTTAATATCACATCAAAAATACTACAATTCTTTTTTATATATTTATGACATCAAATTGTTATAAAAGTAAATAAGAAAGTTTAGGCGCTAGATATGTATATAAGAACTGTGTGTTATGTATGTAAATACCTTTTTTATTTATCCTCAATCATACTAGTCTGTAGAATAAAATAACGCATGTTAGAGCTAAGAATATAGCAAGGCTCATCCCATGCACAATTACTAATGCAGGGTACAAATGCCCAAGATAGCACATGCTATTTGTACTTAATGCTATATTCGTGGGACAAGTGCGAATATTATGTGCTATTTTGTTCAGTTCAAGAGCTGGAAGAGGATAAGCTAATAATGTTGAAAATGAGGCTATTTTGTTGACAAAATTGATTGTATTTTGTTAATTTGAATGTGCGATTTATAAAGAAGCTACTTAATATTTCCTTTGAATTTTTTTTGTCATCTTTTTTTTTTTTATTTTTTTTATGAAAGTCTAGGATAACTTTATTTTATATTTTATTTCTGAAGTATTGTTATTTTCAATTTTATTGTCTGTTATTAGCTTTCATGCAAGTTAAAATTAAACATTCTTATGTTCTACTCCCGTTACAGTGTTTGCATGCATATTTTAGTATATTTTTCTCTTAAATGGCTGTATTGTGAATATTAGTTCATGATTTCTTTTTACCGGAAATTTATATTAGTAGCACCCGGTTCTTATGTATTTACATATCTCACACCTCAATTTTCATATTTACATACATAGCATTTTGGTGCTTTAAACATAATCATAAAAATGTTTAATTCACTTTTAAAAATGATAATTGTTATTTTTTATGTGATATTAAAGATTTGAGTTTTATATCTGTATATATAAAAGCTTAGGTGTGAGATATGTTAATAAGAATTGTGTGCTATGTATGTAAATACCCTTATTTTAATTTGAACATTCTAAAATTATTGGACGCCGTTACTTACAATATTCTTCACTATTCACTATTGACAAATATGTTTTTACTTATATCACATTTCACAAGGACAGTGTTTTAATTTTTTTTAAATTTTTTTTCTTTGATGTCTTGGCTTTCTACATCATGTTTCATCTTTGTACTAGATTTACGTAGGAAATGAAAGGACATACTGCTATAGTTCTATATTTTATGTTTTAGCGAATGATTAAATAAACTTAAATTATGGTACAGTTAGCAAATACTATCGTTGTCGTTGTCGGGTCTGAAGTCTCTGATGTGAAAAGTAGAGAGTTGCATTAGTTAGTCGACAACCAACGTAAAAATTTTTATCAAAAAACTATTGCATGGTTCTTTAAATCATTTTGACAATGCTAGAGCATCCCCTAGATGTGACACTCTATATTACTCTTCTATTGTGAAAAATAGACAATGGTCGCTATACCGATGCCCGGATGTAGTGTGAAATAAAGCAAGAGTTCTCACATTATGGATATGTGCAGACAAAAAAGTTGGTCAATGAAAATAGTATTAGAATATGAATCTGAAATATAAGTACTCTCACAATTAAATTAATGAAATTAGTAGATATTATGATTCATTAAAAGATAGATCTTTTATGCATTCAAGAAATTAAATGGGTTCAAGAATACTATGGAAATTGATAGTTTAGGTTTTTGGTATTTAGGTAGGAGTCATATTAGAAATAGTGTAGGTGTAATTATAGATAAGAGTTTGAAGGATAATATTATAAAATTTAATAGAATTGAAGATAGAATTATAGTTCTAAAAATTTTTGTTGATATTAAGATTTTCATGCCCTTCAAGTAGGTTTGAATACTTGTTTGACAATAACAACAATAACAACAAGCTTTTATCCCATTAAATGGGGTCTGCTCTTTGAATCTTTTTTTCTCTATTGTGTCATATTATATTTTCATCTAATTCTGATAAATTAAGATGATTTTTTATACAACATGCCCAAGTTTTTTTAGGTCTACCTCTACCTCTCCTAACTGGGCCATCAATTGGTCAACGTTTAACAGGTGTAATTTTGGATATATGTTCAAAAGAAATTTTTGGAATGATCTAGAAGAATTAATAAAAATGATCTCTCTTGAAAAAAAATATTAGAGAAAATTTAGATAGACATTTTGGTAGAGTTGTTAAAAATTTTAGAAATATTCATTGTGGCTATGATTTTAGAATGAATGATGAAGAAGGCAAAAGTCATATTGCATTTTATTTTAGTTTATATAAGAATGAATTTAATAAAATATAAATTGATTATTTTTTTATTAGAAAAATTGATCGTCGAGATTGTATAGATTGTAAGGTCATTCCAAGTAAAAATTTAAGTATCTAATATCGATTATTGATTGAAATTTTAAGATGAAAAATCCAACAAAATATTATTATAGAATTAGATGGAGGCACTTAAGAGATAAATAAAATTAATTTTTGTAAGTAAACTTCAAAATCTTAAAATTTGAAATGTTCATGAAGAAGCTAATATTTTGTGGGATAAAGTAACGAGTACTGTTACTCAAGTTGTAAAAGGTATGGTTGGAGAATCAAAAGAAAAAAATATTTTGAATAAAAGAGTTGGTAGTTGTATAATAATGTGCAAGGAAATAAAAAAAAATAATAAATTATTGTGTTAAGGATGAGAATCAAAAAATCTTTTTCTTTAGTGAGGATATTCGATATGGATGAGTGAGATATTTTTATAAACTTTTCTTTGAAAATTATGAAATCACGATCAACTTTAGTGAGTTTATTATCATAAATATCAGCAAAACCACATTAGTGAAATGGAAGCTGAGGGGGACTTCAAAGAAAATGAAGTGTGAAAAAATAGTAGGACTGATGATATTCCAATAGAAGTGTGAAAGTGTTTAGGAGATATGAGAATTTTTTTCCTATTATTTTTTTTTAATATTCTTTTAAAATATTATTGTTTTCAATTTTTATGAATAAAAGGGATGTACAAGCGTATGCAAATTATAGAGGAATTAAGTTAACGTAATATACATTAAATTTATGGGAGAGAGTAATTAAACATAAGACACACTACAAATATTTCTCAAAATCAGTTTGGGTTCATGTCGGTAAGTCTATTTTGGAAGCTATATATTTATTGAGAGATTTGATGTAGAAGTATAGAAAAAGTAAGGTGGATCTATATATGATTTTTTGTTGATTTAGAAAAGCTTGTGATAAGGTTGCAAGAGAAGTACTTTAGAGATTTCTAAAAAAGAATGTTGCTTATATTGCTTATTTTTAAGTCATTAATAGTATGTACACTAAAGTTGTTACTAATGTTTGAACACAAGGAGGATTGACTAATTATTTTCCCATTTTAGTTGGATCACATCAGGGATCGGCTTGCCCATATCATTTTGCTTTAGTTATGGATGTCATTACTAGACATTTATGTGAGGAGTGACTTTGGTGTATGATTTTCTTTGATGATATTCTTTTTTTTTTTATAAAACTAGAGAGAGTTAAAGAACCACTTGATTTATGGAGGTCAACTTTAGAGTCTAAATGCTTTCATTTTAGTAGATCTAATACTAAATACATGGAATGTGATTTTAGCTTTAGTAGATATAGTGGCTGGGTTGTAATAATAGGCGATCGTGTTATTAAAAGAAGTGAACATTTTATATTTATATTGTTCAAAGTGATGGTGGTATAGTGGAGGATGTTATTGATAGAAGTTAAGTTGGATGGTTGAAGTGGAGAATGCATTGGGCCCATTGTGTGACAGAAAAGTACTGTTTAGACTTAAAGCAAAATTTACGCTTAGAGACCAAATGCGAACGAATATATTCGTGAAAGGTTTGAAGTAGCTCCAATGGCATGCAAGATTAGAGAGAATCGTCTTAGATGGTTTGGTCACATTAAATGTCGATCGCCTGATGATCTAGTTATGGGAGTGGATATTTCAAATTTGCTTATGTTAAAAAAGATAGAGGTTGACCTAAAAAGACTTGGGCACGTTATATAAAAAATGATCTTAGTTTATTAGAATTAAATGAAATTATGACACTCAATATGACTCAATTGGGAAAATGGATTCATGTAACAAACCCCACTTGGTTATATAAAGGCTTGTAGCTGGTACAGTTAGCAAGGTGAGAAGCAACCGAAAGTGAACCATATACCAGCCTTCTCTTTACATTTTCTCTTAAGAAATAGTACCTAGAAATCATCACTTTTGTCCAACTATTTGGAATTTTTTCTCATATATGCTTAGTTAAAGCACAAATGACGTCGTAGTTGTTTGGGTAGTATATAGGAAGTCTATCCGTGAATGTGTTTAAGATAAATACATCCATTATAATAAAGAGTCAAATGACTGAATGAGCATGCAAAAAGATAAACTCGGATTAGAAATATGGCTCTGAAGCAAAAGTTATATAGGTGAACATTTATATTGTTGTAATTGTCTAGAAAACTCCATAGATGTCTATATATACCCTTGGGCTGTTTTAGGCACCGAAAAGTTGACTATACGAGCCTTTAAACTTTTTCAAATTGCATTTTATTCTTCTCTTACATAATTTTTTTTGGTTATAATGTTGCAGGCTTTATTGAAGATGCCCTCCAATATTGCTCAAATTCGGTTGGTTAGTCAGCACCCTGAGGTCTATGAACCCTGTGATGATTCATTTGCACTGGTCGATGCTCTCCTAGCCGATCGAGCGAATATTTTAAATCTGCAACCAAGGTTTTGTTTGGAAGTGGGAAGCGGTAGCGGTTACGTAATTGCATCTCTAGCCATCATGCTGCATCAACAAAGTTCTGGAATACAGTATTTCACAACTGATATCAATCCACATGCTGCAGAGACTACTGCTTCTACACTCGGAGCTCATGGTGTTCATGCAGAGATCATCTGCACCGACCTTGCATCAGGTCTCGAAAAGCGTCTGAATGCTTGATCTTATTATTGTTAATCCACCTTATGTGCCGACGCCGGACGAGGAAGTTGGTTGCGAAGGGATTACTTCGTCTTGGGCAGGAGGCGAAAATGGTCGAAAAGTGATCGATAGGATCCTCCCTATAGCGCACAACTTGTTGTCGGAGAAGGGATGGCTTTATATGGTCACTCTAACTGCCAATAAACCTTCTCAAATCTGCTTGATGATGAGAAAGATGGGGTACGCATCACGTATTGTGGTTCAGAGATCAACGGAGGAAGAGAGTCTTCATATTATTAAGTTCTGGAGGGAAAATACGGAGGCCAAGAGTTCTGGGTCTTGGATCTCTCATCTTCCATTGTTGTCTTTTTGGAGAAGCAGTGCTTTGGGCTAATATACGAGATCTAAGGAAAGTGGGGTCTTCAGTTTGAAGAGTTTGAAATGGTATAACTTTCCATTCATTTTTGGACTTCTTTTTTTTCTTTTTGGATCAAGTAAAGACACGCTGACAACACCTTCGGTTTCTAATGTTCTTACAAAACAGATTGTATATAGTATACCATGGTTGGATCTACCTCACACACATATTATAATTTCTTTATTGATGAAATTTTAAGGTTTGCTTCATTGATAATTCAAATCGAAAGATTAGATTATAGGCAAGGATTAAACTTCTCTATTATTTTTTGAAGGAAGCTTTCATATAAAAAACAGCGAAAAAACGTACAAGCCATGTGAAGATAACTGAATGAAAAGTATGGTTGCTTGGATCCCTTGCTCCCTCCCTCCCTCGAGCGTGTGCGCACTTGCTCTTTCTCTCTCTCTCGCTCTCTCTCGTGGACAGATAATTTAGTTATAAGAGCCAAATGAAATGCAAAGCTGATTTTTTTGGAACAACAGAGTAGCAATGTGATGATTGTAGATAAAATCTATGAACTCATCATTGGGAACTGAAGAACTAAGCCAATTGCCATCTCATATGGTTGTGTATCATTCCCTTTTTCTCTCCCCTTAGATTATGCACCCATTTCATACTCATGATCTTTATACTACGCTCTCTCTTAAATATGATAGACCCGAGCCCCGAGCCCCGAGTAGGTATGATTAATGTGGGCTTAAATATAGCACCAAGCCCTATGTAGAAAGTGAATCTTAATGCTTTTCTGGTTCCCACATCTTTTATATAGGTGCAGCCTTCTATTTTTTATAACAAATCATGAGCATCTTTAACCCATGGCAACACTATATTAGATTTAGCTTGTGGGACATGTTTAGTTAAAATATTTAGTCCCTCGGGTTTAGGTTTAGGACTTTCGTCGTCCTTACAATATTTGATTTTTCATCATTGGATAAGCTTTCATCGTTCGAGGCTCTAAGAGTTGCATATAATGATTTTCCTTTCACATGTTCAACTTTATATATGTTATGCTACCTCTTGATGATCTCATTCCTTTATGTTAGTCTTTACATGCATGATGAGCAACTATATGTATTATTTTTTCATTGAAATAGAGAATCTTGCGTGTAAAACCTTTATTTATCAAGTCCCAATGTAAAATGAATAAACATCATTCGTCAAGAATATTATTGAGCTGTTTGTTTAAGATGTAATTAACTATGAGGGCTTGCACTTATAAAAAAAATTGATTACCCGAAGTAAACTATATATTCAACACCATATGTTAAATCATGTTTGAATCGTGTTCGATCCTATGCATATTGATATTCAAACTTTGGTATGGTATGATTCAAATAAGATTCAAATATGGTTGGAATGAGAATTGAAAGAAGTTCAAAGATCAATTATCATGTTGTTAGACGTACTGCGTTGTGCGATTCACGCGATTGTCCGTATATTTGATTCACCGGATGTAATATTTTCTTCATGACTAGCATTTCTTTCAAAACTTAAATATAGAAATTCTTCCCATGTGATTAATTGATTGATTGCATGCCTTTGTCTAACTTCAAATTGGCTCCAAAACCTAATATTTAAAATTATTTACAATTGCACAATGTCTTTCCTTGTTTGCTTTGGCTTTAATACGTATATATGGGGAAATAATTGTGGTTCTATATTTATTTTTATACATGGTTGGCTATAATTTTTAAGAAAAATAAATTTGCTCCTTCAAATTTGTATGGGATGGTTATCATTTTTTTTTAATAAATGGCATATTTTTTATATTGATTATATTTTAAAATTTTATTATGGGATGATTAAAAATAAAATATTTAAATTAAAGATAATTAAAATAGTATTTCAATTTAAAATTATATTTTAAATATTTAAAAGTCAAATGAAGTGAGCAACGATATGGCTTGTGAATTGATAAAAATATCATTAACGCATTATTATTACATAATTGAAATTATATTAAACTAAATATAATATTTATTATGTTATTACACCTATCTTTTCTGATTTATTACACAATTAATGATTAGGTGGATGAGATGAATATATCCATGATAGGGTTGGTGTAGCTCTAGTGATGGATAAAATTAGAGTTGTCTTAGATGGTTTGGTCACATTAAATGTCGACCATCTGATGATCCGATTAGGAGAGTAGTTGTTTTAGATCCGATTGATATTAAGAATGGCAGAGATAGATCTAGGAAGACTTTGGTGTTTTATATAAAAAATAATATTAATTAATTAGAATTAAATGAATATATGTCACTAAGGGTCCGTTTGGGGCAGCTTAAATGCTGTCGTGCCGTTTGGTTCGTGTGTTTCGCTAGCTTATCCGAAACTGCATTTGGGTTTTTACACTAAACGAAAGCCGCGTTTTAGAATAAGCAGTTTATCCTGAAACGCACAAGCTGCCCCAAACAGACCCTTAGATATAATACAATGAAAAAAAATGATTCATGTAGCCGACCCCACTTAGTGGGATGTAGATTTTGTTGGTGTTGTTGTTGTATGCAATTAGATTTCTCAAATGCATGCATATTCTTAAATCCAAAATGTACGATATAATTTTAATCGCCAATTTCTCCTGCAGAGATTTATCCCAAGTGCAATTAGCTGACGTTGGTTAAACTAATCACTGATAAAGACATTTAATGATAATCATGATTTGTATTAATTGAATATAATTAAAGAAAAATATTTGATTGATTCATTATATATATTAATTTTTTAGAAAAAATTAAAGAAAATTTTTTATTTTGAACAAATACTCGATTGTAGGCGGTGTTTAATAGTACCTCAGATTTACATTAAATAGGATTTATAAAATTTGATAAATCCAAGTTTATGAAAGTTTGTGTGATAGAGGAGCAAGCGAGCAACGACGGACTAAATCTGTCTTGCAATTAGATTAACATCGTAAAAAAGCTAGAATGCGAGGAAAGAAAGATAGAGCTCACGAAAATTTGATTTAAGGAAGCATTGGATTTAATTTTTATCTTTTTTATGTTTGGCTGGAGTTATACTCTCTAGCAAATAATTACTTATGTTGAAATTATGTGAGCTCGCGAGGAAGATAGAGCACACGACCACTGTTGGAGTAAATCCATGTATTCCCTCGTAGTCGGATTTGATAAATATGGAATTGAAGAGGAGACAGAACGGTACAAAAACAGACGGAATGAGAGAGAATTGGATTTAATGTGGAGTCTCTTTTTGGCATTTGACTAGATAGCAAACATCTTAGCTTGTTTAGACTCAGCCCTCTTCAAGTACCCCTCTGGGTAGGCGTGTAAACGAGATGAACACGAGCGAGTCCGGACTCAGCTCTTGTTTGTGTTCTACTAGTTAAAAAAAATTACTGTTCATGTTCGACTCGTTTATATTTTGAACAAAAAAATGTGTTCATATTCGACTCGTTTGCTTAACGAGCCGAACACAAGCTATTCAAATAAAGAGTCGTTTTAACAACTTTAGTCACACAATTGTATGATGTTAATGGTTGTTGTTGAGAAATTTTAGGGCAAAGAAACGAGAATCGACGCAAATTCAGAAGAAAACACAGAGATTTAAAGATATTTGACAAAGATGCCTACGTTCTCGGGAGCAGAGCGACAACTTTCATTCAATTTTAGAAAGAGTACAGAATTTCCCTTATGGTTACAATATATATATATAGCCCTGATTTACAATATGTAATTACAAAATTACTGATGTACCGTACAGCGGGGGGTGTTGCCTTTGCACCCCAAACCCACATAACGAAACTCCTCTGATTTGACAAATATTTCCGCTCCACTCCGCTCGCAAGCTTCGCTATGCTTGCTCGCTCCATTGGCTCGCTCTGTTCTGCTCCAGCATCTGTTCCTTATCTGATATATGAGCCATACCTAACAAATCTCCTCCTTGATCAATATCCAGCCCTTTAGGAGAAAGAAACCTGAGAGTTTCTCATGTACTAATGTGGGTTGGGCCACCATGCTTCTCTAGCAATTGTGAATATTCAACAAGTTTAAGCAATGCAATAACTTGTTGATAGTAATGGTTTGGTCAACATATTAGCTGCATTTTTATTAATATGAATCTTCTCAATAGTATCTCACCAGAAGCAATTAATTCTCTGATCTCGTGATACTTGACATCAATATGCTTGGGTCTCATATGATACACCTGGTTCTTAGTCAAATAAATTGTAATTTGACCATCACAATGCAACTGAACTTCACTTGTTTAACACCCAATTCCTTTACTAGCTCAGTAAACCATGAGATTATTTAAGCAGCTTCAGCTACTGTCATTTACTCAGCTTCAGTTGTAGATAATGCTACAATATATTAAACTGTAGATTTCCAACATATAGGTCCTCCACCAAGAGTAAACACATACCTAGTTGTAGACTTTCCGCTCCACTCTGCTTATGAGCTCTGGTGGTTCGCTCCGTTCCGCTTCAGCATCTGTCCCTTGTTTAATATATGAGTCATACCTAACAGTATGAAGATATCTAAATCTTATTTTTCATATTAAGATATTTTTTAAATATAATTTAATATATTTTATTCTTTTTTAATTAACAATTTTAATTGATTATAAATTTTTATAACTTTGTTGTCAATTAAATTTATTAAAAATACTACTCAGTATGTATGTATGTATGTATGTATATATGTATATATGTAT